AGTTTTAGATTTCTGGAGTCTATTTATTTCTTACAAATATTCGTGATGTTAAATTAGTTATAGAATTTTATGTTTTTACGTAAACATTCGTTGCCTATAAACTTACTTAGACTTTTCAGTTAACGTGATGAATACTTACGAGCGTCTCTTAAATTAAAAACTTTGAAAAAACTAACATTTTTACTTTTGATTATAAGTATTTTCAATAATAAAGTCCGTCGGAGGACGAAACGCGTCGCTTAACATAAGTCTTGCTTTTGTCTTTATTCATATTGTCCTTTTACCGATATAATGTAGTTATATCTGAAATTTTTACACACACACACACACATATATATATATATATATATACACGCACATACATATATATGTGTGTGTATGCGTGTGTTTCTGACGGTGTGAAATGGCAACGAAAATAAACATTTCGTTGAAAATAAAGAAAAGAGAGCTGAATTGCTGAATTATATTATTATTATATAAATTATATCAGTTTTCCCACATGTCTGTGAAAGGTCCGAAGCGACAGATATCTGTTTCTACAGACGGATGTTGAGAATGACATGGACTGAAAATCTGGTCAACGAGAAAGTTTTAAACAAAATCGGAAAGGAAAGGAAGAGCACACATACTTAAATTGAGGAATAGATATTTAACATTTTGAAAACACTTTACATAAAAATATATGACTACGTATATATATATATATATATATATATATATATATATATATATATATATCAGTTTAGGCGTGTGAAAACGAAGAAAATATACAATCTTCAAACACGGCTCTACAAAATTAAATAAATTTTATTTTCTTTCAAATTGAAAGAAATGAATTACAAAGATTCTTCACAGAACAACTTCACAGAAAAAATATTTATTATCATCTTTCTTTACAATACAACCCAATCAATTGCGTTAGTATGAGATAAGAAACAGAATGTGTCTCTATAAGGATAGTGACACGTACTTACGATGTTTTAATATGCGTGTAATTTTCGGGTAGCAAAAAATAAGCAGCCAGTGAACGATAGCTGTATTAGTACTACTGCTAAAATTTGTGTTGACAATAACTAGCTTTGTATGTTCTAAATGTGCTTAATTTAACATCGCTTTTGTAATAAAATATACTCAAATAAATATGCGGAAGGTTTTGAGAATTCAGCTTGTCCACGACAACGAAAAACCAACTATACCTGTACCTTTAACAGCATTCACCCGAGGTGGGTTGAGCCGGCTCCAATATTGGAGTTTCATGAGAATTTGGAATTCACAAGCGGCCCCCACCCCCATGTATAGCACATGAGATTTGATTATAGTAGTGAAGGTTTCGTGCAGGACCATCCACACTTTTTGAAGGGCCGATTACAGAGACCTGGTGCACTACGTGCCACAAGGTCCTCAAACGACCCTCCGCAGGTTTTGAATTTAGAGTTTTCTTTCTCCTAGATCAGTTGCCATCCCAGTCTGTTGCTATTTACCCATAGCTGGAGGGAGAAGAAGAGGATTCACACCTTTCCCAAGGGTATTAGCACGTAAGTGAATGTAATGGATTCGACTGGAATTCGAACTCGGCTCTGCGATTCCTCAATCCAAGCCGCTATCCATTACTCCACCGTGCTTTAAAAAAAAAAAAATAAAGAAAAGTAGAACGCTTCAAGAATTTGCGTGTCATCCTTGCGCAGGGGCCATGCTAATCTTCTCTGTACCGTTCCAATTTTAGAATATGTACTGCCGAAGCGAGTACCAACCATGGTTTATGGAGAAACTGAAAACTGAATAACATCACTAATATTTATAAGAAATAAATAGGCTCCAGAAATCTAAAAGTTAGATTTTACTAAAGTCACTGTTTATTGGTTAATAAATATTTTACCAATTTTTAAATGTCTATTTTTAGGTGGGAAAATATCATTTTTTGAAATGATCCGATACAATTTTATAACAGACGATAAACATAGTTAACTGAAATTTTCAAAGGTCTCAGCGCGTTTACAAATAACGTCGGTGATTGGCTAATATATGTGAATGTGGAAATTCAAATCGGAGTCGATTTTGTGCACAAAAATGAGTTAATTTAGAGTTTTAGTAATATAGCTTAAATTTAATGCATTTTCTACAATTTCTTTCCGTCGATATCTGTACTAGCACAAAGTCACAAGTCATCGTGGCCGAGAGCTTGAGCGTGCTGGACTTGTTGAAATTAGTGATCACGCTAGATAACACACTCTTTCCCAGAAACTGTAACTAAGGTCTGCTTGACATAGTTGCAGTATAAACCACAGGTAGGCTCTGTGGGTGTTGAATGAAAACAAATGTGCCTGAGCAAGCGTCTGCAATAGGGATTGGCTAGCCTACCTTGTAGTCAGGTATCCTCGAATACGAGCATACAAAATGCAGGTGGTACAGAGGAAACAAGGAGTAACGTACCGAACAAGTTTATCCGAGTGGATGCCAGAGCGTAAAGAAAGAGAAATGATAAAGTCAAACATTACTTAGATCTGCAAAAGAAGTTGTGAAGAACCATTATCACCCAGGTCCTTGTAGGGACGCGTCTCGTAAGTAAGAAGTTCTAACGGTAATATAGATGACCAGTTTGACCGGTCATCTGCAGAATGGAGACGACCTCACGGCAGATCAGGCAGACACTGGAAATATGTGGACAGCCAGAAGCTCCACCAGATTAATCTGACGCTGCCAAGTCCATGAGATCTAGAGGTACAAGGTGTAGCCCATGGATCTCGTGGGCATGAGATTTTGCAGTGGTGTGCTCTCCGCATGTCCAATTAAAAACCTAGTCTCTTCATATCCTCAATCTTCAAATCAAATCACTTTCTTCCTTTCCTTCTCTTTCGGAAATCTAATATAGTGCCATTGAGAGGTCGCACTGGTCCGATTTTGTACCCAATGAGAAGCTCCCCCGGAGTACAAGCCAGCCGAGCAATCCTTCACAACAATGCTCAGCCCAGTGATCGCTGGCACTTTCACGTTCTGCGACGACCTGATAACCACCGTACTAGAGTCATCTACCCTTTTTGACCGGCGATTTGCAGACTTGAGACGACCTCGCGGCAGATCACGCAGCCACTGGAAGGACTTCGTCTACAATGACCTCAAGCAGTTTAATCTGGCGCTACAGGATGTTCCGACGCTCTATCAAGATTGTGAGAACTGAAGGGACTCTCGTGGACAGCACACCTTCGTGGTATGAGATTTGGCAGGTGCAGCAGTAGTATTCTGTCGTCTGTTGCTACACTATCCAAACTGCTAAATTTCTCCACCTGAAATTTGAGGTATTTTTGTATTTTTCGTTGCTCAACGAAAAATACAAATATATATATATATATATATATATATATATATATATATATATATATACGAAAATAGATATAAAGGAAATAATCTCATGTCAATATATACGATGGCGCAAAAGGTTGGGGGGACACCCCCTGGATTTCGGAGAATGTTCTAAAAATTCAAGGTTGCGTGCCGAAATCATGGGCCCAATTCGTTGAAGAGCAGTTCGGTTAAGATCTCTGGTAGGTATCGTACCAATAGAAAGGTTCACCTGGCTGAATTTTTAGCCCGACCCTAGCTAAACATGTGGTGGACCTAACACCTTAGTAGCCAACTATATGGTGTCCTGGCCTGTCGACATGTACATGACGGCACTGGTGCAAATTAGGCTGATGAGATTGTCATTCACCAGCCGGGGAACTCCTGACTACACATAGTTTGCCCGGTTGATTGATGCCATTGTCAAGTTATATATAAGTTTGACCCGCAATCTACAAACAGGAGACGACTTCGCGGAAGACCATGTAACCGTCAGAACATTTAGCAGATTAATCTGGTAGTGGAGGATGTTCCATCACTCTGCCAAGACAGTGAGAACTGGCTAGACAAGGTGGCATTCGTGGGCTCAACACAATCTTGGCACGCGATTTAGCAGCAACAGCAGCAGCCAAGATATTATGGTGAGACGTCTGAAAATATGAGTAAAGAAAAAACAAGAAACTGTTATTTACGTATGACATATGATTATAGAATAATAAGCGGCGACTTCACAAGTCGGGCTAATCGGGAGGAGCCAGAGTAATCCAATTGCTAATTGGCTCCAGAGGCGGATATGCAATATAATTGGCCCTGATCTGGCATCTCGCCTACAGACACTTTCTCACGTCGCCTCTCTCTGTCTGTTTTACAAATACTTTCATGGTAATTGCTCCGAGGAGCTGCATTCGCTGGTTCCCAGACTTCATGTGTTCAAGCGCCCGACGAGGCTGGAATTCCGCTCTCACCCCTTCACTGTCGAAACTCCTAAATGTAGCCGTCCCTTCTACTCCAGTAGCTTCATGTCTCGCACCTCTCGCCTGTGGAACTCCCTTCCCTATTCTAGTTTCCCTGAGAGCTATAATCTCCAGCTATCCAAATGTAATGTCAATCGACATCTCCAGTTACCTTGATCTATCTACTACCCTTCTCCTCATCCTTTCTTCTATCACTCCTATCTGATCTTGTTCTAAATTTTCTGTAACCCCTTGCGTCCTAGTGGCTTCCCGCTTTGCTTGGGGTGAAACGCTTAAAAAAAAATGATATTTATTTCAAAGCAATAAAAGTCTCTAAGGAAATTTTTGCTGTTTTGAAACATTCATTCTTGACTTTGGTTGCATCCAAAGTAGTGATATGAATCTTCAAGGATAAAATAATATCGAAATGTTTTCATTTAGTGCATTTATAGCTTTCTTTTAAATTCATATCCTAAAATGATGATTTAAACAAATTTTGCTACAAAATATTCAGAAGAATGTTACACGAAAGAAGAAAAAAAAAATGTAACCAGCAATTAAAAAAATTGATTACAGGAGCCCAAATTTGCAGACTGACATGGTTAAAAAGGAAGTATTTTTAATGGCAGGATTCGGGTGAACAGATTTCTAGCAGGACTTTTAAAAAATCATCTTGAGAAATCTCAAACGATTTTAATTCTGTTTTCCATAAAACACCTCTCGTACGATCACCGATGTTAAGCAACATCGAGTCTGGTCAGTACTTCGATGGGTGACCGTTTGGAAATAACAGGTGTCATAAGCTTGGAAGTAAGGTTGGTGCAATGGATTGGAATTGGAAACCGGAGAATCGAGACGTATCAGTAAATAATTATTATCTCCAGAAAATACTTATAATCTAAAAATATTTACTGGCTTTAAATAACCTTCAAAGGGTTGATAAACAATAATAACGCAAACCAATCAATCTACTTTAAATATTTAAATTCAATCTTTCTGTTCATTATAATTTTTATGTAAAAAAAATCCTTGTAATTTTAATGTAAAAAATTCCTTATAATTTTAAAGTAAAAAAAGTTATAATTTTAAAGTAAAAAAAGTTATAATTTTAAAGTAAAAAAGTTCATTATAATTTTACAGTAAAAAAGTTCCCTATAATTTTAAAGTAAAAAAAGTACCCTATAATTTTAAAGTAAAAATGTTCATTATAATTTTAATGAAAAAAAAAAAAAACAAACTTGGACTGTAAATCAAATATTACCTTTTTGTTTCAAATTCTTTATTTTTAGATCTCGACTGTATTCATTTTCCTGTTCATTATAACGTCGATTTCAAGACCGGTGTCCATTTTCCAGCCTCCCCATGAAAATATTTTTCTTTAAAACCCATATCGGCTCACTTTCGTATTTGAAATGTAAAGAAAGCATTTTCTAAAGAATTAGCATTTATTTGTAACACACACACACACACACACACACACACACACACACACACACACACACACACACACACACACACACACATATATATACATACATATATATATATATATATATATATATATATATTATGCATGTTTCATTAAAAACGACATACATGGTACTACGATTAAGCTTTTTATTTAATTTTTCTTCTGTTCGAACAAGTGTTTTCTTCTTTGGACACAGAGTTTGTAGAAACAAAAACGGTTCAAATGTTCTATAATTCCGATCTCTTTCGGCAATACTTTTAACCATTATCAAGTATGTTTCGGATGGAGTCAAGTAAGTTTGTGTGTGTGTTTAAATGGGTTTTAACAGAGCTCTGGTCAGATAGGTGCAACGTAAGGCGTCTGCATAGGCATGTAGTTGTGTGACCAATATAATCATTTATGAGTTCGGTTTGATCAGGAACACAGTTGTGGACTGGCGCTACATAATTATAAACAAAGAACTGTACCAAATAACAGAAACACATTACTTGAAGACTACCAACAGCAGCAACAAATAAGATGCATAGCACATGTAACTCGAATAGAAAAAAAAACAAAGAAACAATAACATAATCAATGATGTTGACGTTCCACACAACTTCAGACAAAAGGTTAGGAAGGAAACTCCCATCAATACTGGAAAGAACAATGACAGCTACTGAACTTATGAAACTATGTCCCTAAAAGTTGTTTTAAGAGAAAGAGAAATATTTTAAAAAATTCGACCGAAAGCGTTACTGACGGCCCAATTAATGAATACCAAATGTTTCCTTGTAGAGAAACGGTTAATATTACCATATATTTGAGGTTGTAACGAAAGTAATATCCGATTATGTGACCGGATTCCTTAAACAAGATTTAGTGAAGTTTAAATTCCGAATTATGTTTTCCTCGACGAGTTTTTTTCATTTTAGACTTTCATATTTTATCACTATCGACGTTAACTTCTGGAGACACTAACAAAAGAAAATTCAGTACTTTCAGTAATAAAATTTTCTTTCAGTAATAAAATAAATTTTGATGACACATTATGTTTTAATAAGAAACATTTATGTCCTCTCTCGCTCTTTTTATTGAGAGAAAGTTTTAATAAGTACAAAGGCTGTTCGTTACTCTTATTAGCAATAGAATTAACAGAGAGAAGAAAGGAAACGCATGGTTCATCCGGTTATGTAAATACTAACCCCCACTCTTTTTTTCTTTAATGGTCTCTTATCCTGCACATAATAAATGCATTTACTCTTATCTTTTGAATTCTGTAATAAAAGAAACAAAACGTTTTTTCTTAATTTTTTACAGTGAATTGGTCAATCCCATATTTCTTGCGTCAAATGATAAGTTGTGGCTTGTGTATCGTTGTTTAGTTCTTAAATTGGTCAAAGAGTATACTGTTCGATCGGTCAGTTTGATATTTGACACAGAGTCACATTTGTCGTGAAATAAGCTAAAAACTTTCTCTGTTCTATGTTTCTTCACGGTGTGGAAAATCATGGCTCCCCACAACTTTGTTGCTCGTAAACTGCTCAATTTCTTAACTATCTACCCCATTGTATTTGTTATATTTGTTTCTCAGTCCTCAAACTTGTCAAGAAGGTAGCAAAATTCTCTTGCCTTCGATGTGTTCTTTGTGTGTTAAGGATGTGGGCTTAGGGTAATGGTTAGCGATTCGAAAAGAGATGTCCGAGAGGCGTGTTCAATTTTCGCGCAAATACAAATGGGAATAGTATGAATCTTCTCCCTGGAGCTATGTGTTAAAATGAAAGGCCGATTACACTCTCTTGCTTGTTTAAGAGAAGATAAACTGAATTAAACTCCAGTCTGCTGAGCGATAGCATCATTCAACCTATATTGTCCTCGACACGCCATCCTGCGATCGTTGCATCACCTGAGGTTCTCCTCCAATCTTATTTGGTTACGGAACCGGTGGCGTGCATGTTAGCATTTCGAAACATTTTTTCTCAGTATGTTTTCTTAAAATTTCAGAATTGACAGAAAGATGATAGAAAAGGCTTGATTCATTTGGTTATGTAAATATTGTCCCCCAATCTTTTATTGTTCTAAGAATTTCCTTGTGTCTCTTCTTAAAACTTCTTCATTTGTTATATGCGTTTTTACAACATTCATCGACAGAACCATATCTTGGTAGCTTCAAGTCTTTTTATTGTGTACGAATTTGGTCAACATTCACTGTTATGGACCATACATAGCAGATTATCAAACTTATTCTTTTATTTCTAATGTTATCTTTTGACCCCCACCAATGTATTACAATATGCAAGTAGGGCAGCGGTTATCGGGATAGAAAAAAAAAGGATCAGACCGAATTCAAATCACTACATAGGCTGTTGCATTCATTTCATCATATAAGGCGTTAAGAAAGGCACCGGCCATTCTCTTTTCTTCCCACCTATAGATTAAGTAGTCCAGCGTAGAGTGGGCAAACAATTTAAAAGATTTTGGTTGGTTGAATTCGTTTATCGGCTTATCAAAACCTCTATGGGTTATTTAATGCGAAATCGAACTATTTTGAACAGTTTTATGGCTCCAACTAAATATATTTTGAACACAACTGTATGCCTTCAACTTCAGATAAAATGTATAGTTTGTAATTGTACTATAAATAGTTATTGTTGATAATTTTATTATATATAGCTATTGTTGCTAATTTTACTATAAATACGTATTGTTGCTAACTTTACTATATATATAGTTATTGTTGCTAATTTTACTATAAGTAGGTATCGTTGCTAATTTTACCATAAATAGGAATTGTTGCGAATTTTACGATATATAGTTACTGTTGCTAATTTTACCATAGATAGGTATTGTTGCTAATTTTACTATAGATAGGTATTGTTACTAATTTTACTATATATAGTTACTGTTGCTAATTTTACGATATATAGGTATTGTTGCTAATTTTACTATAGATAGGTATTGTTGCTAATTTTACTATATATAGTTACTGTTGCTAATTTTACGATATATAGTTATTGTTGCTAATTTTACGATATATAGTTATTGTTGCTAATTTTACGATATATAGTTATTGTTGCTAACTTTACTATAAATAGGTATCGTTGGTAATTTTATTGTATATAGGCATTGTTGCTAATTTTACTATATATGGGCATTGTTGTTAATTTTTCTATAAAAATGTATTTTTATAGATTCATATTGTTTTGTTTTATTTGGCGGTTCACTTTCGCCCACAGCTGGAACCCTAACGATTGCTACCCTGTCAGGGTAGACCTGGGAACAGCATTAATTATGAAGTGATTCTACACTCCTGAAATCCTTCAATCCCCCTATCAGAAGCCTTGCTGCCGAATGCAGTTTATCGACATATCTGGGGTCTAAAAGAAGGAAAAATCTTAACTCCAAACCATAGAGAATACGGGAAACCACTATACAATATTTCCAAAGAAGGAATAACAATTTAGGAATAATAAAGAAAAAGGAATCTGTTAAGAAGTATGATCGTCTACCTCCTAAACGACATGGCATTTAAAAATGCGATACTCAGTTTTCCGAAGATTCTCGTTTCGAATTTCTGTGTAACCTGCTGGTTTTTATTTTAGCCTACTTATTTGGTGTGACACAAGGACACTTTTAATGCTGGCTGTGCAAAGGGAAAGATGTCTCCATCAACTATTTAAAGATAGGTGAAGCGTTTTAACAGAGGACGGAAAGTGTGACACTGAAATCCGAAGGCGCATTAGGATAGCGAAAGATGATTTTCAAAAGCTAAGCAAAGTATTAAGAGACAGAAAATTTCGTTAGAAACAAATTAACAAATACCGAACTACTATGTAATATCCGTACTATATGGGAGTGAACGCTGGACAATCTCCTCACAGATGACGAAGAGACTTGAAGCAGCAGAAATAGGGTCCTACCGAAGGATACTGAGAATACCATCGATCGAATATGTGAACAACGACACAGTTTTAGAGAAAAAGGAAACAAAAATATATTTATACTTAATCAAGAAGAGACAGTTCAAATTTCAAGGGTGCATAATGAGAAAAGAGGGCGTGGGAAATTTGATACGCACAGGACAGATTGAAGGTAGGAGGGATAGAGGAAAACGTATAACCTACTTTGTGAGCTTGAGTAAATGGATGGCGGAACATGGATTTGGAGAGATAGCAAAAAGATAAAATTTACTAAGTGCTACAAGGAGGGGAGATATTGTGAGGGACCATGATCGCCTATGACCTGAAGGGACACAACACAAAGGAGAAGAAGAAGTTGAGGAAGAAGACGAGGAATATCAGTCATCTCTCTCGGGTATGTATCTTTGCTACACCATTGTAAGTACGAAGCA